CTTGTTAATAAAAAGGTAAAAAGATATTAAATGCCTGTGATTCACAGTTTTAAATAAATGGTATCATTTTTGGTCAAAAAGGTAACGGGCAACCAACCCAAAAACTAACCATACAATTTAATACCGTTTCCATATAATGACAACACTTAAATTTCTTATTATTTTCATTTTATATACATATAGTACCTAACAGGGTTAGAACGTATTACAAAAGAGTAATAAATATTATACAAGTCGTTTTAATGAAACACAGGACACGTAAACTGTTTTTTTTTTTTTTTTATTACTTATTATTATTTTCAAGACATCAGAATAAATGACTAAAAAACACTATCACGCTACTTTTAATTAAGACCTTCATTCTAATTTCTTAGCACCCTATGCACCGGAATCATTCAAAAGAGATCATATTATCATAATATTATGTATTATACACCTGTCAATTTCTTAGCGCATATAAATTATAGATATATTTATTATTATTATGTGACTACTTTCCCATGACGTCAAATAATAGCTTATGCCGCTACTTCGTCCAATCAGTAAGGTTTTTTTTTTTACTTTACTAACAATAATATAATAAACGTATTAAGTTATATTTTGTTACACATTTGATAGTTTTTTAAGTGAAGTTTTACCTAAAATTAATTTTACCTATATACAGATATAGCTACCCTATTTTCGGACCTTGTTATTATTCGTTTAATTTATTATACGACCCTGACATGACAAACTGTATATATATGCATAATATTATTCACGCACTCTCGAAATCGTTTATAATATAAACGTACATGAAATATGATCGATGTAAATACGAAAAAAATCCTTTGCGATCGTTTTGACTTTTATTAATTATTTATTTCCTACAACGCAGTTCTAAAACGTTTTTACACGACATTGTTCACATAACAGGAAGATAATTTAATAGTCATACGAAAATGTATCTGAACACTTTTTTCCACGAGTGTTTTTAATTTAAAACATTTATACAACAGACTATTCACTATTCCTTAAGTGTAACATAAAGGCCAAGGATTACTTGGGTGATATCTTTAAGTTGGGTTGGGTTATGTTTATAGAGGACCAATAATAACGAAGTAATTCAGTACTAGCAGAAAGAAGATATACAGTAGACGCCGCTTATAAGACTCACTTTGGGACCAGCACAAAGTGAGTCTTATAACCGAATGAATCTTATAGGCGAAGTGGAAAAAAAAAATTAATTACGTATTTATAAATTTTATTTTACTACATATTTTACTTTGATTTTAATACATTAACACATATTACATATTACATACTTTATTATTTAATAAATTTAATAATCCCGATAAAAAAAACTAAAATTATAATCGTTATAATTATTGTTGCGATAAAAATTATTATACGTTATAAGGTACCAACTGAAACTAGAAATAATCAACACGAATATTATTTCATTTTTCAAAACCAATTTATTTCTAAATTATAACCAAAAAAGTTTATTTTCTACTATTTATTTTACGAAATTTGAGTCTTATAACCGAAGTGTTGAGTCTTAAAACCGATTTTTTTTTAATGTATTTGGATACGTCCGGACCGTTCCAGACGATTTTGAGTCTAATAAGCGACTGAACCTTATATCCGTGAGTCTTATAAGCGGCGTTTACTGTACTTAGAAACTTATTATAAAAGTATAGATACGAGTAGAATAGTAATTTTTTTCAAATGATACGTTCTATTTGAACAAAAACCTATAATCTATTATTTTTTTTTTTTTTTTTTTTGATAATATTATATGATTTTAAGGTCCTACTATAATTCTGAACACCAATTTTTTTTTTTTGCTATATACCACTAGTACGCGCTTAAAATTGTAAAAACCAATTACCTGACACTAGAATAACATACGTTTCTTATATTCTTATATTCTTCTAAGGAAGAATCTATACACTCATAAAATATGTTTTCCAATCAACACATTTATTTAATAAATAATACATTTTATAAACGTCATTTTGATACTCAGCGGACGTTTTTCACATCCAGAAATTATGATATTACCTCTTTTATCTGCCCAAAACTCTACTCATTTTATATATCTACGTGGTTGTGTATAATAATATCCCGGATAAAAATAAACAAAAAATGTAAAGGAACATCTTTGAATCTAGTATATGTAGACAAGTAGTATACGGTAATTTTCTCGATAAATTAACTGCTAATTCGAAAATTGATTTTTATACATATCAGTTTTATGAATTTGAAAGTAATCTTAAGATTATTCATTCGTAAAACAAAAAACTTGTTATGTCAAAAATATTGTATTAACTTAAAACTACCTATATAGCAAAAATAACAGCGAAAAGTCATTAAATAAATCATCTAATATAATTCACGCATTGAGCCAACATATTAATTCTAACAATTTGGCGAGCATTATAACACATACACCTCGCCCATTTAAACTGAAATTTTCAACTAAGAGTTTCGTAAAAGATAATCAAATTAATTTTCAAATGATAATATATATTTATAAGTACATAATTCCTACCGATACTCAAATCATGACAAAATATTTTATGAATCAACCCGAGTTTTTGTCATTGCAGTTGTTGTTTATTTAGGCAAAGAGAGCACAGATATTGATGTTTCTAAAATCTTGTGATGGCAAACACTTTAAAAAAAAAACCTCGGTGTATATTATAAAGGTAATCTCGAAAATAAAGGAAAACGTACTTTCGAAAAACGTTCGTTTTTCATCTTTCACACGTCTCCTCTCGAGAACGGATTAGAGAAAACGATGGTAAAAGTATCCGCACAGTAGCTACTACCCAGTACTCACTTACAGCAGACGCACATTATTGAACAAATAAAACTGTAATATTCGTTTGTGTTTATTCTATAGAAGCATACGTATTAACATGTTAGTACTTAGTACCTACTGTACACACTTTTATGTTGAATTAAATTTATTATAAATGTAGCGTAGGTATCCAAAATAAAAATAAAATTGGTTTGAAAATAACACAGTTATGTCATATTGTCATTGTATTACAATTCAGCGCATAAAAATTGTAAGTAAGGATAATTCAAGTACACCCAACATATTCTTATCGTTATTAGAAAAACAATTTTTTTTTTTTATAAGTTAATATCTCGATATTATAATTTATAAGCAAACCTAGATAGCCAAAAGTAGGTATTCAAACACTAAAAAAATTTAATACTTTTTTTTTACTTTACGTACATTATATTGACTTAAAAGTATATTTTGGAAAAAAAAATTTTTTTCCTACATATATTTATAATTTTAAATCTAAATTCTATAGCAATACAATTGTAGAAATTAAAATAAATTAAATACACGTGTTATACGTAGGTATACAATTTACCCTCTGTAGATGAGTTTTTATATAGTCTCGAGAAGTAATTCCGAGATTTCAAAAGGTAATTTTTCATTTAACAATTATAATTTTATTTTTTTTTTTAATATAGCACTTTTGTGGAAAATATTAATAACAAATAAATATAAGAAAAATTAATATAAAATGATATATATTTATACTTACTATGACCATACCTGGTATAACTTTATATAATGAATAAACACGATCACTTGTATATATATATACATATTTATTTAACAATAGAAACAACATTCATCAACCATTACTACAATACGTGGTGCCGATACAATAAATTTCTGACCCACCCAACTATATACTATTTTCATTTCTCGGAGACACGGACAAACAGCAGTTTACCGTGCGATTAAAGCCATCATAATATGTATATGTATATATTATATATATTATTTTTAATCAATTTTTTCCGACTTTGAACTTCCACAACATATACCAATGTAGATGCGTACCCACTTAATAATTATTAAGTACAATACATAAAATGTAAGTTCCCGGTCAAGTAAATTGTGCGCGGTCCAAAGTAAAATCGTTATGACCGGTCGCGATGAGGGGTGAGTGTGATAAAGTAAAAAGAACCCGGCAATGACGGCACTCGAGAGAGAACATCTACATGAGAGAGTGGGAAAAGAGGTATGAAATTAAAAGAAAAATAAGGGACGGGGTTAAGGTATAGTGTATACTACATATAAATATATATATATATTATATACATGAGCTATTCACGAAACCTTGACATTTCACCTCGAGGCCGCAATAGCTACATTTACCCACCTTAAAATGTCGGTAAAATATTATTTACGCTCTCCGCCAGTCTAGTACCTACCGTACGCTTAATTATTTTTTTCAACATTAAACACCGTTTCTTCTTTCCGCCGGGTCAATTATATTATGCATTAAAATGTAAAGAAATTAAAAGAGAGCTAGCACTCTGCCCATTTATACTCTCCAACTACTTCCTACCCACCAGCCCGTTAAAAAACGACTTGAATAAGTTAATTATTAATTATTACATTTAAAGGTAAAACGCTCCGGGTCAACAAATCAAAGTGTATACTGTAACTGTATTATACTACCCAAACTGTAAACACGTTGTTTATAACACGTATTTAAACGAAACCCATTCGTTTCAATATTGATACTGATCACAAAAAACAAAACAAGTTATAATTGAAACAAATAATAACAATAATAATACCTGTAATAACGCATGTGTTGGTTTCAACAATTTTGCAGCCGGCGGGCGCACTGACGTAGAGCAGACAACACAATGAGGTAGGACCCTCATAAACACGATTTTTAATGTAGGGTGTATATATATTACACGTTTTATTCTACAAACACCGTGGCAAGCTGCAAACCTTGGCTTCCGCAGAACTGAAACGGATACATGCAACTCTGAAGATCTCTACCGACTTTTAATGAGCAATAAAACATCTTCAGATGCGGCTTACTTCATTATACAAGTACTATTTTAAGGCGCAGTGCATATTCGACACTAGTGACTTGTTAATATTAATTTATAAAATATTATCTAACTGTCTGCAGTGCTTTTGATATGATGTGGATGAGCAGGAAATAAAACGTATACTATTCAGATGGAAAAAAAATTAATTTAAAACAGTAAAAACTTCATATACATGTTTATATAATATAATTGAATGTTCGAAAAAATTACGTACACGTCATACACAACATATACACTGCACGATATATTATAATACGGCGGTATAATTATATAATATCAATATTTTAAAATAACAAGTGGCATATAATAATTAACATATAATATATATATATTAATTACAAATGCTATAGAACAAAAAGAAATATACAATCATAATTTACAAACTAGGTAGAGTGAAATTAAAAACAAATATAACCCTAAAATAAGAATAAAACGTCCTCGGGCTCCGTCACCACTTATATTTTCCGATACTACTTTCACTGCCACAGCAATATGTAAAGCAGCAGAGCGGCCCACAGTTTCATATGGTCACGCAATCACGTGAATGAGTTTGTGCAAACGATAAACATAACATTATAACAATATGATTATTATTTATCATATAAACGATGAATTCCGGACGCTCACTTGTACCGTTTTCAGAAGAAGTAAATATAAAATACAAAATAATAATAATAATGATAATAATAACAAAAGCAATATAATATATAATTATTATACGATCGCTATACATATGCCGCCGCCGTTTCTAATCCCGTGATATATATATACATATTATATACATCGTTTTACATGTCTTTGTTTTCATCACTACCGTTATCACACGTGTATCATATATCACAGATTATAGAGCGTTTATGTATTCATTATATTATATATAAATATATATAATATAATCTGCGCGGCATTGTAAAAACTGTATTACAATAATAGCAGGAGCAGTAGTAGCAATTGTTGTCATCGTCGTTATGGTAGAAGTGGTTATTGTTGTTGTAATAGGAGTATTATAGGTAAGTAAGATAGGTATATAAGGTATAGGTGGTAGGTAGTTTGGCAGCTCATCGCGGTTATAAAGCGCACTATTGCATTGCGACAGTGGGCGCCGCTGCCGTAACGTTTTCTGAACCAACACTTCCGGTTGCATCAGCCATCGTCGAAGGTGTCCGCGGAGGCGGCTGTGGAGACGTGTTTTGTTGGGTATTTGGAGGTGGAGTCGGCGGCGGCGGTGGTGGCTCGAAAGTCCTTACCCTGCGCCGGCGCAACAACACTGTCCGCAAACGGCCCAGGTTATTGAGTCCGTTCATCAGACTAAAATGCTGAACCGGTCTGATGGTTACCTCCACCGGACTTCTGCCTTCAGGCCGCAAGGAATCTCCGCCGGTTGGCTGGTGTTGGTGCTGATGCTGTTGCTGTTGCCGCTGGATGATCACCTGCTGCAGCTGAGCTTGCTGCAGCACATATGGCAGCTCATAGTGGTGATAAAAGTAAATCATGGAATGCTGTGGAAAAAAAATAAGAGGGAAATGTTTTACACTGTTATAAACTTCAAATTTGTACAGACACGGTGGTCTTTAATTATGCGACTCGTAAGTACATGGCATAAATATATAATTAAGTTATGTGCACTAGCGCTCAAAAAAGTAAAGAAGACCCTGAAAATACATTTTAATTTTCCGGTTGACCGTCCGTATGTATACGATTGGCAAGTACCGCAGTGGCTACACAATTACAACATAATATGCATGATAAGCACAGTGCACAGCCATTTCAACCATAGACATCAGCAATAGACAATTTTTTGTATATTTTTCAGAAAAGAATGAAAGAACGTACGAACACGTATCCGGGGGATCCAAGACACAACACCATAATATATATAATTACGAAGGGCATGCTCGTGACATTTCATATTATGCATTATTGAATCTATTATTAAAATATTTAATTTGAGCTCAACCACGGTCAGAGACAATGAGTAGTAGATAGAAATAATGTTTATTTTTGTTACAATAATATAGATGAAACAACTTATGGCATAATTGCGCACACAAAAAACACCCAGTGGCGAAGCGTCATAGGAGACAATGAGACAACGTCTCCCCACTTAAAAATTAAAACACGGGACAAATAATTATATTTTATAATATAATATTTATAAATTTTAACGTCTTTTTATTATAAATATAATGTATGTACTATGTTTTAATATTTATTAAAATCAGTTTTCCTTTGTACAGTTAAGTTATGATAGTCATTAGTCTTACAGAATTCTTAAAATAGATTAGATGCGCTCGATACGACCGTCTGTACGAATTGGCGATGCGGGTCATTCTAAATATCAATATGGTATTAAATCAAAGAAACGTTCCAATGCAACGTCTCATAATCTTTGACGCGCGGGTACAAGGGGAATTTGAATGGGAGTGGGATTTACCATGTATGTGATGAGACGCGTCTCATTCGTCTTGCCGTTCGTATTTCATCGATTATTGTCGTTCTGTCGCGTTGTCACGCCATCGTCAATAAAATTGCGATAGCCGATAGTTATACATAGGTACGTGTTTATTAATATTTTTTAATTTTAAATTATAAATTATGGCTGATGATTTAATTAATGCTATTTTGAACGATGGAATTAGTAATTATTCATACGAAAAAAAATTTGAACTAAAAAATAAAAAACCTTGTCCTTTATTAAATTTAACGACAACTGACGGAAAATCCATTCGAAAATTTCAATTTGTGTGGTATTCAAAATATAAGTGGCTTACTGGTAGTCAAGTTAGAAATAAATTATATTGTTATTATTGTCTATTATTAAGAGGAGAGAAAACCTGGAGCCAAGAAGGTGTATCAACAATTAAAAATTTTGAACGAAAAGCAAACAAGCATGCTATTTCTGAAAGGCATCTTGTTTGTCAAGAACAATTCAAGTTACTCGGGGAAAATATGATTTTTTTTCAATGTCTCCCCAACTAAAAACTCCAGCCTCGCTACTGAAAACACCAAAACTAAAATACTATTTAAAATTTCAAAATATAAATCACGTTATAGTTATATACCTATTCAAATCATATTGTTATGACTGACAAAAAATTCGCAATTTTATCTGTTTTTTTATAAACACGAAAATATCATGAGCGATTTAAATTTTCAACAAATAACAGAAATGCGTATATTGTTAAATTATTTTTTTGAGTTAAAAACGATCACATGTTTCTATTATAATAATTGATATAGTAGTCAATAAGATTTATGTTCTAAAAATATCTAAAAAAAAAATCATAATTGCATTTTATTTTCATGTAAATTGTATTCATTTAAAAGATTTTGTATTTAAATTAATCGCCTATAAAAACAAAGAAAAATTTTGACATTATCGTTAAGACTTATATAATATAAGATACAACAAATGTGAGATACAAATATTTCAAAAGTTAATATCATAAACTATTATTATACATTTAAAAATTATCTATGAGTAATATTTATGATTTAAGTAAAATTAGATAAAAATCTTGTTAAAGAATATCATAAAAATACGAATTATAACTTAATTTCTAACAGATATTTAAGAGAAATTAAAATTGTATTTAACATAACTTTTTCTGCAATAATGATATAATTTTTAGTAACATAATCAAACAAAACTAATATTTTAATCGTAGTATTTAATTACACTAAAAAATATAGCTACGAGCATAGATACTAGGTGCAACGTGACAGAAACATATAATTACAACGGCATAATTCCTATAATATAACACAATCATACAGGTTTAGATAATTCGTAACCCGTCCTAGGGTTCAAGTGAATATATTATTATTATTTTATTATTATAATATGCCATACGATAAACCAACGGCCCTAAAAAAAATATGCATTAAATACAATAATGACGAAAATAAACGAAAAAATGATTCGATCATAAAGTATATATGCACGCGGTGAAAAGCATGAGAGGTGTTGGACGGACAGACGGACCGTGCTCTTTGTTAAATTTATATGGAAATTTCACATCATCCCTTCGGGACGTCGACGCTCGGAATTCATTCTGTTTATGACACTATAAATAAATATATACATATACAAATATAGCTGTGTGCGACGGCGCATGTTCTCAAAAATTTCCATACACATAATAATATAGACCATTGGGTTTTTCGTCCGTTAATTACAATAACACAATACTGAACGCAAAAATTTCACATTTAAATTACATTAGAAAAAAAATCGAATTCAAACCCAAATAATATTATAAGGGAGCAATAATAATAATCGCAAAACGACCACGCTGGGTACTGAACCGTATTCGTAGATAGCAGACATCACTATATTAAATAGGTACTTGAACAGAAACAACTATAGCGATAACATATATACATATATATGTATCATATGAGTAATCAAACGTGAAATGGTGTTTGAACGCGCAACACCCCTCAAAATCATGTATATGTATTATGTATATACATATGATACATAAAGGAAATATACCTGTACTCAATATTTTTCGTTATGTATTTTCTGCTTATAGGGGAGGAAGAAAAAAACAGAAACTAACCAACTGACGAGAAGAAATCGAAAGAAATGTTTCAGACACAAATCAAATCCATTAATATAACTTGCGGAAAAGTTCACTTAAATAAAAGGGTGGAATTTTACTTTGCTACAAAACGTTTGGAAAATAGCAAAAAGAAATGTTTTTAATTTTTTTGAAATTGCTTACGGACTGATTAATTATTAAGACGCAACGTTTATATAGGTACAAAATATTATACTATACTATGAACGTACGACAAATATAATTTGCATACCTTATAATACTATAATATACATTTCTGCATTACCAGAGCGCGCATCAAGAAAAACGTGTCCACGAAGTTTTCGAAAGCATTATGCATTTTTAAAATTCTAGTCTGAATTCATAACACAGGTACGACATATATTTAAATTCTATCATAAGGACCGATAACGAAAAACAAAAACAGTTCTACAAAAGCATCATAATGGTGCGCACTAGCGCACTACGCGGTGTAAACAATAATCTATTGCATACTTTGTAATGGCCCCAATATATCATAACATAATATACTCCATCAGTCTTAATTATAATATTCTCATTAAAAACGCTTTAAATTAAATGTCTGAAACAGACGATGAAAACGCAAAAACCTTATCGGCTCACTATACACAATGTATACATAATATTTAGAAGTAGTGTCAATAGATCCTCCCTTCCAACATGCTTTCAAGTGTAGTAAACTAATAGTTAACTTATTTACTTATTGCGTATAAAGATTTTAAATGTCTTTTATAAATAAAATAAAAACATAATATTATGTATAGCGTACTGCATGAAATATTACATAAACCACCGAAGTACAATAACATGCATCTCCTATAAACAATAAAATGTAATTTTCCTTTAACAGTAAAATGCAGTATAGGCACAGAAAACACCGTCCAAAAACATAAACTATATTATAGAAAAATATTTGAATACTGAATTCACTAATACAAGCACTTTCTTTTAGATATTTTACAATTTAAATAAAAATATTTTTAGTTTCCAATTATTTTACCTAAAAAGTAAATTTAAATAAAATTGATCGATTTACAGTGTAAATGAGACAAAAAACAATCCATCGGAGTTTAATTAGAACAATGGACTATACACAATCTTAAAAAATGCACCCTTTTAAGTTTTATGATTTTATCTACACACAGATATCAATTCAAAATCGATAGACAATACTATGAAAATGTAAAATAAACAATGATTTACTACAATATATTATCCAAATCATCGTGAAATAATAATAATAAAAATTAAAGTAAAAAAAAATCCATTTCGTATTACCTGAATAAAGAACCACGAACAAATGAGAGCCAAATTGCTGTACTGACCATTGAACCGATAGTGGTAAGCGTAGAATGAAAAGTGGTACAGATAGAAAAACCTGGAACAGAAACATAATTGATTTACATATACAAATGTATAATATACTTAAGTATACACAATACTAGCACACATGTTTCTATAAATATTACGAAATACATAGTATATATAATTATATAGGATGTTTCGCTGTGTTTACACTACCTATTATCAGCCTCAATTTAAAAAAGTACCTATAGGTATACAAAATAATTTGAATATTATACTTAATGTTAACGGGTGATTCAACTTTTGAAATATTTACATAAATAAACTCAATAAAACAGGTTATCTAACCCAAAAATGGATATAAAAAACGCAAAAATAATTTTAATTGTTTTCATGTTAATTTCAGATAAGGCCGAAAATAAATTAAATAGAAAATAAGTTACATCATAAATGAAAACACCCTGTATATATAATATATCAAGCAGTTTTATTTATAGCTTTCGAGTTACACTTCTGTAAAAGACGACTGGCACACTTACGCACACGCGCACATACTAGATGGACAGAGTGAGTGAAAGTGGGGGAAAAAGTGCAATTCTGGTATATTCATTACAGTTCTTGGCAGGCGGTCAATGGAATCCCCGTAGTGTCGCTTCGTATTCCTCGTCCTGCAATGGACCCTTTTTCTTCCTTCCTCCTTTTTTTCGTACCTCATGTCAAACTGTGATGCACTCGTGTTCGAGACAACTTTCTCGTGTAATTCCTTTACCAATATCCCTCCCCGCACCGGTTACTAGAATATCATCCCCCAATCTGACACCCCCCTGATATGGACCCCCCGCAGTAGGGTATATATTATACGACGACAACAATAATAACAGCTTTTATATTATATAGGTACTCACTTTAGCCAATGCCTTTTCGTGATTGGACAATGGCTGCATATGGTGTCGTATTGATCAGCTACCCAGACGATCAATATGATGTAAAACGCTGTGGTTGTGTCATTGAAAAATTCCGACATTATGGCCTCCATACCTGTCAATAATTTGAATAATATTTACTATAATAATGGTAAATAAATAAGAACATAGATCGTCATCGAAAATTAAAACCCCTTTTATACACCACAACCCCCACACTATTGTCGACATTATTATTATTGCCGCACACACACTGCAGTACACGGCACAACGTTATCGTGTTGACAAAGTCCTTAATTGTTAATGCATAAAATTATGTTTCCGGGGGACGAACGTCGCGACGTCAGTGAACTCCGATGACGCATAAGCCGTTTGACAGGGTTTTAAATGTTTTATTAATAATATTTGGGTGCGACGAAAAATCACAAAAACGGATTATTAATATTATTATTATTATCATCACTATCGTAATTTATTTTACTCACCAACCAAAGCCAGTATGACAGTCAAAAGTGGCGCCGCTGGAAAAGAGAGCGAACCGTGAAAATCTAATAACTGTAGCAAATCCACTGAAAAAATATATAACAATAAGTTAGTAAATTTAAAAAAAAAATTAAGTTATTATTATTATTTATTTATTTGTTTTTCACCATAATAATAATAATAATATAAATTACCTATGAAAACAAATATCTGATGATGCGAGTACCTCAAGAGCATTGAAATCGATACAGTCTGAAAACAAAAAAATAACATAAACCGTTTAATTTCAATAAACGTATATTTACATATAACTTATATATGTAACAAGTCACTAACAGTATCAAAAATATAATTTAGCTAAAACGACAGTTGATAATTAGAAAACATAAGATTATGCAGGGCTCTAGAAACTTTAAATATTCAAAAATTACGTAGTTCTTGGTTATTAAAAAATAATTAAATAAACAATGAAAGAAAACAAAATTGAAAAAACCTTTTTTGTTATTCTTATTTATATTAAATGGATTATTTAAAGTGTTTTTCTTTGTTTTAAATATGATTTTATAATCAATACCAAAATCTAGCAAATGTATATTATTTTTTGTCCATCAACAAATACTAATACACCATTGAAAAAAAAACAGTTGCAAAAAAATTGAATTAAAAAATAAAGTAATACATATCATAAAGTAATCAACTTTAATACCTAATTTAAAAATAAAAAAATAGTTCACCAATTTGTTTAAAACAAAAACTAAAAATTATAAATAATATGACACCAAGAAGAAATGTACAAAACTAAAAGAATATGAAACCTACTCAACGTTACTAAATATTTAATTGCACATAATATTCCAAATATCTTTAATAACCAAAATATGATATTGATTTAAAAAAAAATAAAACAAAATGACAAAAAAATTCAAAAACAATGCATTAAATGCACAACCCCGATAATTAAATACTTTTATGCTAATATAATTATAAATTAATAACAAATAATAATTATACAATGTACATTGTATATCACATAATAATGTTATGCATTTACGATTTAACAAATATTTCTCTAATTTCATTGCCACGTACCAGTAGTACAATTCTATAATTATACACCTGTTCATGTACTCTGTCAAACAATAATGCACCGTTAACAAAATAGGTAGGCAAGTATGAACCACTCAGCCATAAATAAGGTGATGAATAAGAGACTGTAATGGGCGTATAAAATATAAATTCAATAATATATCGTTATATCCGAATAGTGATTGTGTGCAGTAAGCCAATGCAACTAAATATATTTCATGATGTTTCATGTTTTTATAATATACTATCATATAGCTATCAAAGTAATTTATTTTACTTTTAATATTACGGTATAAGTTAAAGCAATTTTTTTCAAAAATATAACATTTATTATATTATCATTTATAATTATTCAATTATTATAATATTATTGTTATTAATTTTTATTTTAATAATACCTTACCTACTGTAAATACGGAAAAATAACGTGAAAAGATCTATAGAATAAATAGATATCTAAATTCATCTATCTAACCTTGAAAATATCTTCGCCTAAAGTAAGGTAAAAAATATATAAAAAAAAAGTCCTCACTAATAATATTTTTGAGTTATAATAAAATAATTAACATCATAATTCATCGTTAAAATACGTAATTTTCTCCAAATTTCAAGTACAAACATATAAAAAATAATTGTGTTCGAATATTTTTTTTTTTAGATTCTTTATATCTAATATGAAATACTTATAAGAAACATTGAATTACATTTTCATACCTTAGCCATAAAAATTAAGAATTGTATACATTTTTGTGATACAAAATGCTTGTAGTTAGTAGATTTTCATGATTTTCATGATTTTTTAATAACTTAAACATCAAATACATATAAAAAAAAATTGCAACTTAAAAATGTTCAATCTTTTTTTAATTTATAAATTAATAATTAATTTGAAACCATGTGTTAAATTTTCAAGTATTTTTACCTATTCATATGATTTTTATCAACATTTATAAAAAAAAAATATCAACAATTTCAATCGCCTATTAACTTTTAAAAGAATCAAAACATTTTGAAAATTATATGTAAAATTATTTCACAAATTTTATATTAAATTACGTGTATGAAAATTATCTATCATAATCATTCAAGAAAAATTTCTAGTTTCCACGGTTATTTTTTTCGAGACACAAAATATGTAAACTGCTATTTTGAAGATATAAAAAAATGTTGGGTATTTAAAAAAAAAAGTGCCTAATTAAAAATAATAATAAAAAATAGGTAATGAATGACAACAAAGAATTCAATACGTAAAGCTGTTAATAGATTAATCAATGAGTTGTACCTTATTTAAAAATATACGTTAGATTATATACTCTAAAATAAAATTATAACTTTGTCGACTTTACATAATTTATAATTTAAATTTTTTTCCAAGTATTACACGTATTTTAATTTATTTCCTCTATAATTTTAAAGTTATTTATTTCCTCTATAATTTTAAAGTTATTTTTTTATTTTTTTTTAAGTTTACTTTTTCTACTATTTATGAACTATTTAAAATTTTTATGAATAAGTTATTATTTCAGTTGTATTTTTTAATTGAACCATATGTATTATGTACCAACATTTATTAAATAGTTATATCGTGATTATTTATAATTATTGTAGTTTTATTGATTTATATAATACATAACGCTTTAAGCTATGCGTGTAAATTGAATAAAATTGTATGAGATATTGCAATTATTTCATTTTGAATAGATCATTCGACAAATATGATTTAATAAATAATACGCATACAAATATATTACCTATATTTATGGTATTATACACACGTAATTAAACAAATCGAATTGATTTACAATTGAAATGAATTACTTGCTCTGCGCCAATAGATAGTTTGAAATGATTTAAAAGAACTGCATTTTCATACCAAATACGTTTTTTTAAATTCAACGAAAAGGGAAAAATTCGGCTTTAGTAATTGGCAACAGGAGGAAGAAAATATATGGGCATTCATTTCTCGGGGGAATAAAACATCGTATCTAATTTCACGCACTCCTTTCTTATTGGTTTTCTTAATCATTATGTCGCTACTACCAAGCAATCTCACTATATGACTTCAGGCGGTAATTTGATCGAAGACGTATTATGTTGAAAAATAATATACGCGAATACTACTACGCGAACAACTTAATTTAAGAATACAAATATTGTTATTATTATTTATACTTATTAGTTATTACAGAATATTAAATTTTAAAACAAATTTCGTTTCCCCGCTGTTACCTAAACATACTATATGAAACATACAAATGTAGGTATACTTAATAAAAAATTAAAAAATCAAATTTCATATAATTTAAAAAACATAAATTATTTAAAAAAAAAAAAGAAATTTATTTTTATAAAACAGAAAACGACGTTACCGAACCTGAATTTTGAGTTTACATCAAACATGTAAAAATTGAAATAAATTTTACATTATTTAAAAATATTAGTTTAAATAAATAAAATAATAAGGATAAATTTATTTTGAAAAATAAAAAAAAAGGAGAAAATCAGACAACTAATCAACTGTACTTGGAGTGTACCACGTCATTAAGTCACAATAATACTATAATATATGTGTTCAATTTGAAATCATACACAAAAAACAAAAAAAAACAATTCTGAACAAAAACAATCTGTCAGCCTATATTAATAAAATATATTTATATTGCTACTACAGTAATTTGTTTATTATTAGCAATAGAGTAAGTTGAATTAAATTTTGTCAAAATGTTGCATTTATTATAATATTCATTATCATACTATAAAAACTTGTATCATAAATTATTGTTTTAAAGTTCTGAGTATACTGGGATACCATTACTGAGGAACTTCTCCATTTACAGCTATAGACTCTTTCTATAATAATATCACATTTACATAGTTTACATTATGTTTATTTTATACAAATTGTAAATTTTCATATTTTTATTAAAAAAGAAAATTTCTGTATCAACAAAAACTTACTGTAACATTTTGGAAATAGAACAAATGAATAGATTTTTTTGGTGTAAATAAGCAATAACTAACAATTAATCTAAATATTTTGAAAATTTAAATATTTAAATAAAACTATATAATACTATACATGTAAAACTCTTAAGTTCGCACTATTAATATTTTTGAATTATAACAGAATAACTAAAAACATTATTATTTATTAATATATGTAATTTCATCTAAATTTAAAATCACTTTAAATATCTATAAAGAAAATTATGTTTATATATTTGTTCAGGTATTTTTTTTCAATTATGATGAACCTTATGTTTTATATTCAAACTATAGTAATAAAAATTGAACCTTTTATAAATGTATGTATAACTAAATAATACATTTTTGAGGTTTTGAAAAATTGTATTTTATCCAAACTAGAACTTTAGTCACTTTTAAAAAATAATTGTACCTATGTACTACCTAATAGCTAGAATTTTTTATTAATATTTCATTAAGCTTTTTGCTCAACCCTAAACATTTGTATCAATACTTTAAAAATAAAGAAATAAAAAATTTCAATTTCAATAATTAATTTAAATTAAATCTAAATATTTTGAAAATTTCACAGAGTAAAGAAAATGATAATTTAAAATGGAATATGTTAAGTTTCTAAGATTAATAAATTTTTAATTAAAACAAAAAGAAAAAAAATGTTTAATGGTAAATCATTTTAATGAATATCCTATTTTGTCAAAATTAAAACTTCAGACACTTATTACACCATACTTAAAGAGCTGTATTTATTATTCCAGCAACAACTACTAAAGAAGAACCTTGTATTATACTTCAAACTTTTTAATTTAGTGAGTGAACATTTTTTTATCAATATTTGTCATTTATAAAAAGAAAATCAAAAATGTCTATTATTTAAAATAAATAGTACAAAAAGACTCAAAATTATTTATAGAAAATGTCAATATTAATATTTGGTTAAATAATTTTTGAAACTACAATGGTACTATTCACTTAAGAATAAATTATAACCAATTTTTAGTAAACGTTTTTTGTTATCCTAATTATTTTGAAAAATATATATTATAAAAATATTTTATTTATGAATCACAATTAGATCCAATTTGTTAGCATAAACTACAATTGAGTTGAATATTGTAGCAATTTGAATTTGAATTCACTTTAAGGTGATAAGTGATAACAAAAAAAAAATTGTAAAACCAATTAAAACACTTTCATTTAAAGCTCTACTCAGAATATAAAATATACTCCACGGCCAACATTCTATGCTTCTTCAAAGAACCACAAATACATGTTCTCACTTAATTAACTTCAGTTTAAACAAAAAAATATTAGCTTGAAGTTATATTTGCTATTAGATCCTCCCCCCCCCCTATAGTGATTATCACCAACAATACTCTTCAATTTATAGGGATATTTCTAATACACATATATCCTTTTTTGTAAGGTACTACTCAAAATATTAGTTATATTGATTAGACTACACATAATACACAACAATATTATACTTACAAACACAACCATTATAAAGAATGATGCAATATACGACGTTCTAGCCATCCAAATACTCACAAACCTATAATGTTCTCCAGTAATGACATTTCTGAAATATATAAACAAAAATTATTATCTACATAAAGGCAATAAATTAAAATTATTCATAATAAATTGTGTTTACCTCAGAAATCCTTTGTTTTGTTCATTCTCGGCTAATGATTTAACAGAGGACATCAGTAAATCGTCATAGCCAAGGAAATACTCCAAGAAAAACTGACCCACTGAATCACCAAAACACTTGTTCCGGGTAGGCTCTAGAGCTACTAGCATTACTGGAATTCCTAATCGAGTTCTGGCATTGGGCGACAGACGCAAAAACCCATACTCCAAAGAATATTCAACAATGTAATTCTCATAAAATGCTCCTAAAAAATTAGTCAAAAAAAAATTGTATGCATTTTCATTTCCATTCAAATGCATTCCACAACTCATAAAATATGGATACCTTCATTGTCATTAATCGTAGGTAATGTGGCACTTGTGGACTGGAGTAATGAACTTCTATCGATTCCCAGTACACCTTTAATAGAACTATTTGGATACTAAAAAAGATTAATATTTAATTTTAGTTTTAAATGTATAAAGGAAGATTCAAAGGAATAGTGCAAGTACTTTGGTAGAACGAAATTCTGCTGAGTCTTCTATTAGTGAAAAATTTGAGTTACTGGTGGTATGGCGATTCATCTTACTGGTACTTTTAAACATTTCTTTCTTGTCATCTATATAAAACAACAAAAAATCAATGAAAAATATAGTAAATTTAGATGCTAAATAAATAAAAAAATGTTATCATTATGTAAATTGTTCAAAAATTTATAAAACTATTAGAATAATAAGAACTCTTAAAAGTTACAACTTAAAATAATACTTCATGTTTTTATACTCGTAAAAAATTTGACATTAAAAACAATTTCATCATAATTCTCTACATAAAATTTCTCCCCGAGCATACTTTATAGAAAATAAATTAAAATAAAAGATTATTATTTATTGACAAAATTATAATTATACTATGGACAATGCTATTAAAAATATCTAGACAATCTATTACTAAATAAATTATTCAAGACAAATATTACTCAAGTATATCACTATTAATAAATTACATACAATTTTTAATATGATATTAGATAATCAAAAATGTAAGTAAAATAATAATAAATTATTTTAAAGAAATAATGTTTTATGTGTATATGTGCTAAAATGTATTTCAAAATACTTTTTGTTAAAACAAGTATACCCTTCATATTAAATTAATACAGTTATATAAACAAAGCATTTATTAAAAAAATAATAATATTAACTATAAAAAAATTGAAAATAAATTGTAATATAAGATGATGGCTTTTACATTTATTTACATTGTGTATAATTCCAAGATCTAAGTCATAGACATATTTGATACACAATCATAATTACAGATAAATTGAATAATTTTTAGACCCGTATAATATCACAATACCTTTTAATAAAAAAGAATAATATTTTATGTCTAAATTAAATAAAACAATAAAAATAATAGGAATATATCTATGAATAAATAATAAAAATAATATATTTATAAATTAACTAAAATAATATAAAATAACCAAAATTGGGTTTGCTACTAATTTTTGTAAAACAGATATGATTTGAATTTTATGATTTTCAAACACATCATACCATTTAAGACATGAATCTCATAATAAACAATCGGGAACCATAATATGTTTTTAATTTAATAACTATCTGAATAGCAGTCTACGCTTCATTTGTAAAAATGGCTCCTTCATGGAAAATGTTAAAATGCTAATATAGTATGAATGAGCCATGAGGAATTAATATTTATATTTATATGTGCATAACCATATGTAAATCTAACATATCTACGACCAAAGTCAGGGAATCTAAAACATATTAGATTTAGATATGGTTATGCACATTATGTTTAAACCTAATTGTATCATTTACCAATTTTAATACTAAAATGTATTTATAAACATAAAAAGAAAGAAATAATATTATTAAATGTATTTAAAGATACTGTGGTATTATTATATGGGTCTAATATTTATCTAACACTTATCCCACAGAATGGGTCGTATATCTAACAAGTTCATAACCTAGGTTGTGAATATAAATAGTATATACTGTATTAATTTAACCATAAACAACAAAAATACTTAACTATTTTTCCATGACACCAACAAAATTTTGTACTATGTAATAAAAATGTAAATTTTATATTTACTTAGAATAAATTTTACCTTCAACACTTATATAATTTTTAAATGATATGAAGTTGAATAAGTTAGGTTTTGGGGTACTAGTCTCTGGAAATTTATTTTCAACTAATTCTTCTGTTGATGGTTCAATATCAACCTCTCTTTTGTTCCTAAAAAAGAATATTTAGTGAGAATATAATTGTTAAATGCTTTAAATTTTACTTAATATTAGTATTATTCAATCAATTTTAATTCAAGTCTAATTTTCATTTTTTCATTTTTTTTTTTTTCTATTTTGTGGTCGAAACTTAAATTTAATAATTTATAATATCAATCTAATACAAAACAAAAAATACTTATTGATATTATAGTTTTTTACATGCATTTTTACTTTGTTGAATGACACATTTATTAAAAAACAAATAAATCAAATAGATTAATCAAAATATTTAATGTAATTTATAAGATATAGAAGTTTGTAACTGAAATAGGTACTAAGATTATACAAAAAGGAAAAAATTAATTTTTTTTAATACAAATTAAATATTTTACCTATATTTTTTTTATTAAATTAATAAAAATAATTATTTTATGTAATAATAAAACGTATACAACAATAAATTTCAGTAATAATAATTATGATAATTGAGATTTATCTAGATATTCACACTTCTAAATGGGATTTGAGGATTGTAATTCTATAAGAAAATAAAACTGAAATAATTTTATGTCAGCATATATTGAAAATTTCGTTTTAACAGCTTAAAAATAACATTATTAAAATAGAGGATTGAATAAAAGAAAAGGCATTTTAAAAATGTATTAAAAAATGCAAATTTCTCATAATTTAAAATAATTATTTGATACATTATATTAATTATTTCAACTATATTTAAAAATACAAAAAATTCAGAAATTAAGTTTATAAATATTTTTAAAATAAATTATATTAACAATATAGTCAACTTATAAAGCAGCACTATAAACAACATAAAAATAAATTGTCTTGTAAATGAAATGTTTATTGATTTTGTTCAACGTTATATCAAATATAATATTATGATATTTAAAAATTAATACATTTTATATTTTGAGAAAATTTTTAGAAACACAATATGCTCTTAATATAATTTATAGTTTAATAAACTATAAATTTTAAAAATAATTATTTGGTTAATTGTTTTAATTTATTACTTTGAGATATGTTTTAAAAACTTGAATACCAATATAATTGTTTTCAATTAATAAATTTTTAAAAAATTTTCTTTCAATAGGTATTAAATAAATTAATTGCATGTTTAGAACAATAATACAAATTCTATAATTAATAATAATTGGGTAGGTACTTACTCAGGATTATTAGTTTTAGTTAAGCGGTTCAACAATGACGAATTCTCATCACTTGTGTCTATACGTTTTAGTTTATATTCACGTTCATAAGACTTTTCTACTGTAAACAATTCATTTATCATGCCTGTTTGTTCTGCATAGTTACGTTGATAACTTCGAATAATCTCCACTCGTAATATACCATCTCTAGGCCAAATGTCTTTTACATGGTCTAAACAGTTGGCTGGCATTCGTGAAAAGTTCATATGCACATACACAAGAACAAAAAATGATAAAACAGCCTAAAATCAAAAAACACAAAAATTAAAACATTTGTAAACTTTGACATTCAATTTAGTACAAAAGTTTACCTTTAATAAAAATACAAATTCTATAAGCCTTCTCAAAGATCTTGGGAATATTCTTGCATACCCTAAGGTGGCCTTGTAGAACAGTGCATAGAACAGACGATCTCTTACATTGAACGCTTGGTTATTATTATTGTTATTGTTATTGTTATTAACTCCCGTTGTTCTCATATCCAAAGCGTTTGGTGGCACAACCACCAGTTCTTCATGATCGTGACCGTTATTAGACATGATGAAGTCGTCCCTTTAGCTCGGCAACAGACAAAACGTTAGCAAAAAATGTTGAATGCTAAACTGCATCGTCACCTAATGGACAATGAAAACCAATAAAATCTATACAGAAATATTGAGTATTAACCTACGTTCCAATTGTAAGCCAACTGAAGCGACTAAACAAAATTGTAACACAATAGAAACGTGGGCAAAAGTGTTCAAAAAAACATCGCATAAATTGTTACAGACAAGCAAATTTTTAAAAACCTTCACACCCAAAATAGTACTACTGGGTAACCTGACGAGTGAAGGAGTGGTGTACTCATGTTGAGACGTCGACCCCGACAGTCATTTTGATCGCGATCACAAATTACGATCTGTGAATCACTGATCACAATTACTAACATACATAAATACTCACATATATCGACCGACGTATGGGCCGAACGCGACAGCAATCGGCGATATTGATATGATACACCTATAGGTGTGCTCTAGACTATAGGGCTTACGGCAAACGAGCGAGCGGTGGCGCGTCACTCAGGAAATTGGAATTATTTTACCAGGATCTGCGATCAATCGAATCGACAGATGATAAACAGGAAACACAAATACACAACGACAATTGAACGACGAACAGGTTTAACTTGAAAATGCATAGTCGCGCTGGTAGTCGTCAGCTGCAGCTGTGCGAGTACTATATCGTTTTATCATTTTTCCTTGTGACAATAATATTATAATGATAAATAAATTATTCTACAATAATAATCATTTTGGGGTTCAAAATGATAGCACGCGCGACGTGTCGACTCATTATAAAAGTGATCGAGATCTCCGGAATATTATTATTATTGTGAATGCGATACTGCGATAGGTATCTGCATTAATTATAGCAGATATTATTTTATTACTGCGATTTAGTGAAATATTTACGTAATTAATCTTAGCAGGTAGTATCCGAGATCCGTAGACCGTAATCGACACATTTATTCTAACGTTGCCCAACATGAACTACGTTCGCCGATGCTGATAACACAACGGTACAACAATATCATGTCGTTTACATACAGTATAATATTATTATTATTATTATATTTACTTGCTAAATTGCTACTTGCTATACCTTACTCGTAGTCGTCTCTTATCTCTTTTATTTTAACACCCCAAATCCCTCCAATCATCGCAGTTGATGATGACGGTCAACGAGGCGCACCGCAACTTTGCGCAAACTTTCGTTCGTAACTGACCACTAGCTTCGATCCGCATTCAATGGCGTGTGATTTGTGGGTGCCTGAGGTCCACAGACGACCAATTATAATAGGAAGAAAATAAAGCCCTCGCCCTACACCGAAACGAACCAGTTCTAAGACCTTTTCAAAACATTGAACACAGGACCCATTTTTAAATATTTTAAAAACTCAAAGTCCTAGACCATAACCGATACTTTAAGTGTGCCTTCGACATTTTTCAATCCAACTTTGAACATTTTGATTTTTTTTTTTTCTTGTTGTAAAACGTACTATTGGAACGCGTTATTTAACGTTTATTTCATTATTTCAATCTGGTTAAAATCAATTAACCAGAATCGAAATTTCGATTTTAAAAACCGTAACTGTAGACTGTAGTAAAACCCATCCAGAACCAACATTATTTAATGTTCGGAGATTTAAACCGAAACAAAAAAAAATGTAATGGTTCCGGTTACTGTAATTTTTAATTTATCGTTATACATTGGTGTTTCTAAAACCTAAGACCTCTCAAATCAAGTTCTAAATATGTGTAGATAGGTAGTAAGTATTATACAGTGGGTTCACGCTAAGAGATACCACTAAATATTTCAATTGAATGACCTTGTATAGAAACGGAGTTTTCGAGGAATGAAAAGGAGTACCAAAATACACATTTGCAAACTAATTTAAAATTGTTTACCCTTTGGTAAGTACATGCGCAATCAATTTAATTTTTTTTTAAACGACAACACCATTTTTTTTTTCTTATTGCAGATTCCAGTAAAGTATTTTGTTTTGTAATATTTTTTGTATAATGCGATTTTTATATATAAACAAGACACAAATGAACACTTATTTGTTTTCGTAATTTACTCTCATTTTCACCATTTATTTACGCAGTTAAGAAAATCAACCCATTACGCATTACCTGATGATTATTATTATTATTATATCAAATGAAAAATAAATAGGTACTCGACTACTAAATACCATTATTCAAAATTATTTAAGAGATAGTTTGATATACTAACACTGTATTATTTTTATTTTTATTTTAATTATAATACAAAGTTTTAAGCATGGACAATGATGTAATTTTCAACAATGTAACCTAATCTTACAAATACAAATATATAACACAATAGGTAACTATAATCTGTTCTGAATTTTAGATACGTGAGAACATTTTTTATATTTTATGTAGGTACCATATCTTTTATTTCATGACCTTTTACTAATTGAAATTGATCATTGGTAATTAATACGTTGACGCAGATCACCGTCTCTTGAATAATACTTTAAATTAGTTTGTAGAAAAAGAACAATGTACTTAACTAAATTAAAATAATATTTAATGAGATAAATACCTACAATAATTTTTATTTTGACGATTATCGAAGATGTGTAGCGTTTAGCTGTGTGTAAGGATACTAATAAGGGACATGCCCGCTCATACCTCCAACAGTTTTTCAGACATTCAATTTCAGTCCCAATGAATTACACTACTACGGTGCGTCCTGTTATTATATTTTTGTTAATTTTAGATTCATGCTTTTTATACATTTTATAGTGATGTAAGTATTAGAAAAATAATTGTTGATGGTGTGGGGGAAATTTTCAAGCATTTTTAACATTTTTTTGATAAATTTGTCAGCTTTACAAACTTTTAATTCATACTGTTGATTACAGTAGTGTAATGCATATTATGTATTGTATATTTAACTCAGTATAATTACAAAAATGTACTACAATTAATAGGATTTAATTTTTCTATGTATACGCTCGAGATTAATATGTCAACACTAAGCAATAAAACATAAACGTAAGTTATTAGATATCAAATAGGTAAGGGTAATTTTTAAATAAACATATTTTTTAAGTTTAAACGTATAGGCATATAGCGATATAAATTGTGAAGGTATAACTTTTGATCAAATCTAAAATAATAAAAAATAAATCGAAAATTATAGTTTTTATTCAGATTTTGTTATGTAATATGTATTAAGTAATATAATTTTATTATATTTGCGTAATTACAGTTTAAGAGATTTATTATTTTAAACCATCTCTTTTGTTTGGGAAATGAAACTTAATATACACGAAACTGCACGTCTGCACTTACCTTAAATACCCAGGGGCGAATTTAAGGCACTGCGAACTATGTAGCCGCATAGGGCGGTTTTTTATACGCAGTAAAATTGTATTTAATATTTATTTTATTCTTGTACCTACTTATAGAAAAATACTAAATTTTTTTCTTAAATTTTTCAATTTCAAAATAAATAATTAATATTAAAACTACTTATATAACCAAATAATTATTTAATAAATTTATTATTTTTTCTTGTATAATAAGAATAAAGAGAAAATACTATATTTAAATCAAAACGTTTTTTATTGAACTTTAGTTAAATGAAAATAATAATTGCATAATACATAGAAAATGTTATCATGTAAGGACATTTTGCTGTACAGAGGTGATTATTTTTTAAATAAAGGCGGTAAATTGCTTTTTTTGGCATAGGGGTGGCAAATTGTTATATCCGCCCTTATAAGTACCTAGGACATACTTACTTTTAATCAATCATACCATTTTTATACGATGTGTTGACAATTAAATGCACATTTTTGATTCCAATAACGGCTCAGTAGTGCTAAAAACATAATTTTCAAGTACCTATAATTCATAACAACAGACCATGTTATCTGTTAACATAGTCAAGACTGCCACAGATTGGACGAGAAATTTGATTTAAAATTGAATGTTATTGATTTATAATATAACCAAGGTAGGTATAAAAAACAAATTTCAAGGATTAGCTGCAATTTATATAAATACCGTTTGTTAGCCGTGTGTATATCTATCTATTCAACTTTGAACATTTACAGGTTGTGTATTAATTTGTCTTTACAAGATAGGTTACCAAATGTGACATAAATACATAATATTGTTTCAATAATTTTTAAGTAGTCGAAGCATTTAAAATAAGAAAAAAATAGAATCAGAGTACCTACTTAGCTATTTATAAATAGTAGATAGTAAAGAGTATTTATAACTTTATAAGTAAACGTATACACATTTAAGTATTTCTTAAAAATATTTATCATTTAAATATTTAATTATATTTACTGGTAAAGTGGATACGAGGTGCCTATACCTATGTCGCATTTGCATATTGTAATTTATTATTAGATTGGATTCATAATAGTCATAAATCATAATACATTACACAATACACATACATTTATAAATATTCAGTTAGTAATTTTAAGAAAATAGATCAAATTAAATAGTTCAACCTTTCGTTAAGAATAACATTAGATCATGATTGTATTTTTTAAATTACAATGAGTTTTAAAAATAATGTTGCTTATGCCGGATTACAAAAAAAAAAAATAATGAGTTTCATAGTTCAATCAAATTTAATAAACCAATTACAGACCACTAAATCATGCTTAAAGGACCATTATTAGAGCTCACTATTGATTAATTAAATGTATAATGTTTAATGATTGTTTATGCAATCCGGCAATAGTGTAATAAATTATTATTTATGAGTTATTCATAATATATTATAGTACTTATGTAAACAAATGATGTCTTTACTTACCATAGTACATTAATCAAATATAAAAAATGATGCGTCTTACAAATTTCAGGATTTTAAATAATCTCTAGCCAAAAAATAGGTATTTTTATATAAATAAACAATATAATTTATTATTTTGGAAAAATTATTAGCTGATGGGAGAATTTTTTACTGGCCCTTATTGGTTAAAATATAAGTAGCTATAGATACTGCTAAATAAATGTGCACTGGTTTATGCATTCGGTTTTAAGTATTTATTATATTGTATGTAATGTAGTTAAACTGAAAATATAATATAAAACTGGTTTGATGCAAATATTAATTATTTACAGAATGATAACTAAGGGAATACATTATACATTTATACGTACCAGCTCTAATTATTATGAGACCTTGAATATTAGAATTTATAAACATAATAACATGTCATATACCTATATATTCTTATACAGCATATAAATTTAAAAATGAAAAGTTGGTTTATAAAAAATAATATTTTCAAAAACAAAACATAAATTGTATTATAATATAGTTTAATACAGGGGTCGGCTACCTTATTAACCACGCGGGCCATATTTTTTTTCAATTGTTCATCAAGGGCCACATTAAAAAAAAAATTACATACTATTATATAATACTTATATTTGTATTGCTATTATATTTGATTATTTTACATAGAAATATGAGAGTAAAAAAACACAAATGCTACTAGAAAAATTGCATTTAAGAAAAAATTTAATTGAATAAAAAATTGTAAAATTGTAAATTAATACGATTTCTGTGCCTGCAATTTATTAGTTAAATTTTCAATATCAGCTTATTGCAGACTTGTTATTGAGACTCGTAATACAACTCGTAAATGTTCATCACCAAGGCGTGAAAAGTGCTTATTTTTTGTGTACTTCACAATTGAAAATGTCTGCTCACATAATATATGTACTTGCAAACGCCGCTATAAGCTTTTGTGCAAATTATCTGATTCCAGGGAAGGTAGATATTGGAAAACAATTATAAAATTGAGGAAAACTAGTTGCTTTCCTAAAAGTATTTTTAAGAACCTCGTAATTTTGAAGTTCAATGACTTCCATTTGTAAATTATTCTTGACATTATTTATGTCCACTTGAAAAGGATTCTGGAATAATTTAATTTTTTTATCGTATTTATAAAAATCATCAAACCTTGTTGAAAATTCGTTTTGCAATTGTTCAATAATATTGAGAAATAAAAACTGACTATATAACTATATAGAATAAACACTAACTATTAACAGTTAGATTAGATTTTATTTATGAAGGAAAAAGAATTATATAATTAGTTTAATATCCACTACCTATTATTTATATGACGTATAGGTATGGTTAAACAGATAGTTCATATTATGGTGTGTACCTACCAACCTACAGTAAAAATTAATTTATTTTCTACACAATCACAATAATTTTAAAACCCCTTCTTTGGATTTTTGTCAGTTATCTTCACGAATTATAATAATTTGAATCTAATGGTGAAATTTGTTTTGCATATTTCTGCATATTAATGATTATTGCATATATTTACATAATTCGAAATGTATTGCATATTAAAACATACATTTTTCATTAATTATTTAAAGTTGTTTAATTTGTGAATTTAAAATAAATTTAAAAAAAAACTCTCTTGCATATTTTTTGCATATTTTCATAATTATTAATGATTAATTAGAACTCGGATATCAAGTGAAAATATTTCAATTAATATCCTCTGAAAGAACAAAACGTCTTTCCTAATATTCTTTGTAGATTTAGAACAACTCAAATTAATCAAGACATGCTCCAAAATCAAAATCGAACAGCCCATATAAAAAATAAATAATTCAATGTGAACGTCGGTCATACTCGTAATTGCTGTTTCCATAATCCAAGATGTGTTTGTCGTGGTGATGAACATGACACAGTTCATTGTCAAAAAATCTATAACGAACCTGAAAAATGCATCCTATGCGGAGGTTCTCATCTAGCTAATTATAGAAACTATTAATTACAATACCTATAATAATATAGAAAATTATATCCTATTCCCCGCAAAAAATTAAAATCATTTATCAAATTTAAGCCTTTGGTTATAATATAAGAGTCAACTAGCACAGTGGCACAACACATGGTAAAGTAGCGCTACTTATCTCTAATAAAATAGTGCACTCAGGTACCTACTCTCTTTTTTCTCCCACTACATTAGCCAATATACAAATTATAGCTCATATCTCATTAGTCATTACCAACTAAACTTATTCTAATTTCTACTGCTAACCCTTCTCTCGCGTATCGTCAATTCCCCGAAAACAAACGTACTTTTCTGTTAGGAATTGATTTTAGGGACTCTACTTTTGTGCTGTACATCACTAATACCAGAGATAAACTTCATTTCAATTAAACATGTTAAAAAACTAGCATCAAATATTCAACCTACTGACATCATACCGGCCGCCACCGGGATATTCTAAACCTCTAAGAATAAACAACAATTGTATGTTTGTTGACTAATTTTTTAGAGCAGCAAAAAAAATTTTATTGAGATACATTTTTGAAAAATATAACATGTACTCAAAATATATTTACAAATTAGTCCTTGCCGATAAGACAAATCAAACACAATTGGAGTACAAACATACTTAGGTTATAGCCTGAAGGACAGATTACTTGATACTTATCAAGATATTAACGTACTACATACCAAATAGTTTTCAGAATTCAGTAGAAGTCGTTTTATGCAGTTAGCTTTAATATAAGTCAATTTACCTATTGTTAAACTTAGTTAAAAATATTATCAAAGACATCTCATAGACTTTTATTGATTATTCATTTCAAAATGAATTATATAAGCTATAGCTATGAAAAATATTACAAGTTAAAATACTTATACCTCATTTTAGAATTGTAACATTAATAAAAACCTGAAATACCCTAAATAATATTCTTACCATCTTACCTTTAAGTTTTACAATACCTACATACATAAATTGACTAATATTAAAGTTAACAGCATAAAATGGATTCTGCGAAACGCAAGTTTGCTATATTAGTAAGGCAGAAACAGCACATTGACATCACCTTAACAAAAACTAATTAATAATATGTACCTAATCAATATAAAAGGTGACTCAATAAAGAGCCTTTGTTCAACCACAGTTATTTATATTTTGACCAAATTAAGTAAACTCATTACATAGAATATAGATTGTAAATATTATTCAATAAATACTTAATTATAAAAAATATTGAATTTGTCTAAATTTTAATTTAAGTATCTAAAAAAAAATCGTGTATATTAATTATTTTTTAGATTTTTTTATTTTTATTATAAATTATATATATATTAAAAACATTATATTACATTTTCAAGCCTAAACTATAAAAATTGAATATTTTATAATTTTTAACTGTAACATAGTTTACAAAGTTTTGCAATTTTTAATAATTTTATCAAAATTTTAATTTTTAATACTTAAAAAAAAATTAGAAATTTCAAATGTCTTATGTATATAGCTAAAAAAAAGTCAAAATATTTCAAAAATTTATAGAAAATGCAAATATAAACATCTGGTAAAAATATCAAGAATCTGTGGTTATTCATTTAAATTTTTGAATTATAGAAAAAAGATAGTTAATTTTATTCTGTCAAACTTTAAGTAAAAAATTTTTGTTTTTTGTTTTTTCCATTATTTTGAAAATTCTCAAGTTTTGACCTCTCAAAAGTATGAACAAGACTATATTTTCTATTAGAAAGTACTGTAATCTACTCAGAATCATTAAGTTACTAAATATTGTTATTTAACATTGTAGGTTAATAAATAAAAGTTTATTAATATAGTCAATAAATTCTGGCAAAATATAATATTATTAAAATGGTACTTTTTATTTTTTACAATTTAAAAAAATCATAACACAAAGATGTACAATTCAAATTTATGATTTATTTTGCAATACTAAGCTATTATCTATATTGTTTAACACAATTAAGCGTTTCATAGGTAATGTTATTTTTACAAACGATAAAAGATGTAATACACAAAACCATTGATATAATGGTTAATCATATAAGATAAAAATTACTTTCTATACCAACTCTGGGCAAGTGACATTCTTTTTATTTTTTTCTGCAACTGTAGGATACCATACATCAACGCTTCTGCAGTTGGTGGACAACCTAAAGAATATTCAAATATTATAAACAATATTAACATGATACATATTTAGGAAGAGATTAAAAACAATTCACTGCATATCAATCATAGGTAGATATTTGCTTGTAATTCAGGGGGGGGGGGCTTAAATCTTTCTTTGCATTGTTACAAAATAGGTATCTGTTTAATACTTTGAAAAATGTTCAATTATTTTTGGGGGACTTAGCCTCCATGATATCAATGCTTGTTTCATCTCAGTATGCTTTCATAAAAATTATGATTATGTTGAGTAGAATATTTTGTTTATCAAGAGAAGAAATTATGTACCCTTCAAAAAAAATAAAAATTGAAAATGTTATGTTGAACATATAAATACTCTATGAGGGTATGACTGAGTGTTTATTCCAGACCTATGTTGGGGGAGGGGAATACCCCCTCGATCACCCACCTGAAATAAACATTGATAACTTTAAAGTATTATACAAATGAAAATGTTATACTTGACAAACATAATGTTTAAAATCTACTATCTATGTAAATTTAACATAAATTACTGCTAATATTTAGAAATATGAACTATATATCTGTATTTAATTATAATCTATATATATATATATATTATATTAAATATTATGATATAAATACATAATTAAAACAATATCTTACCTGGTACATAAATGTCGACTGGAATAACCCTATCACATCCCCTCACAACTGAATATGAATAATGATAGTAACCACCACCATTTGCACAACTTCCCATGGAAATAACCCATTTTGGATCAGGCATCTATGAACATTTTATAGAGTATAATCAATGAAATAATGAAAATTGTCTCACTTACTTGATCGTAAACTCTTCTCAATGCTGGTGCCATTTTGTTGGTCAATGTTCCAGCAACTATTATAAGATCAGCCTGACGAGGAGATGCACGAAATACAACACCATATCGATCCATATCATATCGAGGAGCAGCAATGTGCATCATTTCAACAGCACAACATGCCAATCCAAAAGTTAAAGGCCAGAGGGAGTGCTGAAAATCAAGTGTCCAATAAATGTTTAGATTATGATATGACAATAATTGTTTATTATTTAAATACCTTACGGCCCCAGTTCAAGACATCATCCAAACGAGCTACAGCATATTCAGCCATATTATTTGTCTTTTGAAATGGAGAATATGGACGATATGGTTTTTCTAATAAAAACAGAGAAAAAAAATGTTTCAATAATAATAAAATAGTTGTAATTCTGATAACAAACCTTCTACATTTGAGTCTTGAGGTGCCGATTGGATTTTGGTAGATTCATTTCTGAGACAAATTTGAGTGACTGCAGGATTCTTCAACAGGGAATTGATGCTCTTAGAGGCTGACAAGATTTGATTTGGGCGGCCTAAATTATTAATAAAAATAAGATTATCCATAAATATTATACAAATATAGTTTTAAATATTATTATAGTTACTCATACGCAATGTGACAACAATTATCAATAGAATAATAAAAAATTAAAAAACAAAATATTTAACTTGTAACATCTTTTAATATTTTACTGATTAAAAAAATAACAAAAATAACGAAAAGAATTACTTATGTAGATTTAACAAAGAGTTAAAAATCATACTTCCAGACAACTTAATTAAATTGCACCATACACATGTTAACATAATAATGTCATTATTCACTCACCGATCATCCTCATTTTTTTCAATGAAACCAACAAATTTTACTTTGTCTGGTATCAAAATTCAATAAAACTGACAGTGAATTTAATTAACAACCTACTTAGGCATTCAACAATAAAGTAACTAGATCTTACACAAACTTAAAAGTAAAACGAAAATAATCGAAGAGTAAACGACCTCAGAATCAGGTATCTCGTGTTATCAATTGTTTAGTCTCGTACTTTCGTCTGATAACAGTTAAAACCTAAACAGCTGACGCGAATACGCAACCTAAGCTCGATAAGCACATAACCTACCTCATGAATCACCATAGAACCACAGAACAAAGGTATGTACTAATGTACTATGTAATTACTAATTAGATAATAGATACTACTATACTAGTATAGTAGTATAGTAGCTCACGCAGTAAGCCACTAGCCAGTAAGTAATAATGTATTATAATTTATTAGTTTATATGATTGTCGTGACTCTTGATTTCGTGATGAAAAGACTAAAGAGTAAAGTATACTGAGTTGAGCATAGACCTTAAACTCTGAGTAGGTATAGTAATACTTTTAATCCCAAATCTACGATGAAAATTTTAATTTGTCTTAAAGACGCCGATTATGTAAAAAAATTAGATAAAATTCGATTTAAAAGACAAATTAATATCAATTTGGATATGATTACTTACATATTTATTTTATTTAAAAATTATAGAACTATTTAAAACTCAAATTAATAAATCTATACAGCTCATGTATATTAATTTACTTAAATAGATATTTAATTTTATAAATATATGATATATCCACTAAGTTGGATAAAAGTGATCGAGAAATGATGGAGGGGGATGTTAACGCCGACCACAGGTTGGAAAGAGCCACAATGTGTCCAATTTACTCAAATTGCTTTTGTGCAAACTGCAATGGTGTGGCTAGAACAATAATCTCAGAGGCAATTGCCTCTGAAATTTTTTAAAATGGCACCTCCTTTCAATAATTTTCATGTCAATAGTGTCGAAGGTCCTTGGGACATTTTTCATTTGCCTCTGTAAAAGGTTCAGTATTCCACACTTTTATAAAACTTCTATTAACCCTTTACCCTTTGATCAGTGGTTAAGTGGCAACTTACAGTCCACTGCAGCCTGTTACTTTAAAAATTTAATTTTTCGACTCAATCAAGTACTTAATCTAAAAAATACTAGGTAACCAATGTTTTTCACAATTTCATGACTTTACAAAGGTACCTAGTCAATGTACCTACAACATAAGTTTAGATCTTTTCATGTTATGTACTGTACCTTTAAACTGATTGTTTTTCATTACAACTTATTAATTTAACACTATTTATAAAACACTGCAGTGTTTAAATAAGTACCTAGCCATAAATAAATTATTTTGATATTAAGTAACTCATTTTTGTTCATTTTAAGAATTTTTTCCCCATTGCTCAAAATACAACATTGTAGAATAATAGTTAATATGAATTTTTAATTTAATAAATTAAGAAGTACCAATTTACTTGTTATATTTATGTATAGGTAACAAAAATATAAATACAACATTAAAATAAAATATACTATAAAATTTGTAGACCTTTACATTTTTTAACTACTCTTCAGGCACCTACAACTAAAAATATATTATCATTAGAGCTAATAACAAGAAAATTGACATAATTCAGAACCTATAAATCTTTAAAAATTTCATCAAATCGAGTACAAAAATAAGTACATTTTTTTATGATTTTGAAGTCAACCCAGAATAAAAATTACCTTCAAAATCTCATCTTCTGGTACAATATTTCTAATGAGTGATTTAGAAATAAACAATATGAATAATTGTTATATCTGCAAAAAATGTGATAAAAAAATATAGCTACAACTATGCTATATTTTACCACAAATATAATTCTTGTTTGTTAGCTACTCTGTATACAAAAAATATATCTTTTCTGTAATAATAAAAATAATATATATATTTACATTAATTTAAGAATAATATAGTTTTTATGATGAATAATTTATATTTGAAGTATGATAACTATAGTTTGAGAGTGTACCTTCAAATTTTTGATTACTCACTAGTCACTATGTTATTTTAAATGAATATATAAAATTGGCACCAACTCTTAAAAAAACTAAGTATTGGCTATAATATTATAACAAAAACTAACTTAAGTAACAATTAAATGAAAGTGACTTGGTGTAGCGCGGTAATTGGCCTCAGTTACTAATGTGTTCTGAAATCAAATCATTGTTCAGCGTCACTAGCTCTCAGATGGGTGACCACCCGAATTCTTAATGACTAATCCATAGTGTACAATCCTACTAACCAAAACCTTACACAAAAAAACCTACTGTTCCTATACACAGCTAATGGCTTTAGTTGCCAGGCTTAAATAAGATCGATAAAAAAAACAAAACAAAATAATGAAAATAACGTTTTAATCACTAGACGTGAAAAATTTAAATGACCAAAGTTTTCAACAATGTGTTATTATTGTTTTTATACGGTTTGAATGAATAAAAGAGTAAATTATAATACTATAATTACCAAATCATATCATTAACATTAGATTAATTATATTTGTTCATTTCTTATAACATTTTTTTTTTTTTTTAAATTAATATTTTTTCTGTGTATTTCACTACTTTGAATAATTATACATCAACAATATTAATTACTTTAGTTGTTTCAATATTTACAATTAAACTGTACAATTTTACTTATTCTAAGATATTAAAAATACTAATTTTTAACATACAAATTTAACACAAAGTTGTAATTTATTAGTTTAAAAAAAGTTTATGAAAAAATAAAATCTAACAAAATAATTTTTGTAGACTATCATTAATATTTTTTTTTTAAATATTTATAAAAAATTTCCAATTACAGGGTAAAATTTGGTTATTAAATAAATCCGTTAATTTTAAATTTAAAAGAATATAATATTATGGTTTATACATATCTTGTAAAACGCTTGAAATTAATTATTCAATAAGTAGGGTAAAATAATATGAAAAATAAAAGGCAGTGAGACATAATAGAAGCCTATACATCTTGATTATATGAGTATCACTTTGCAACAGCAGCCGTTTGATGTGTTTTAGAATTTAATCCAAGGTTAATTAGTCGAGTTCCAGAAGCCAAAGAAGATGGTGTACTCTGTCTTACTTTTGAAGATGAAGGCTGATTTTTTCTTTTGACCTAAGAAAAAATAAAGTTAATGTTAACAATAAAAATAGTATATTTAAAAAAACTGTTTTAAAATTATAGTTAGAATCATTCTTAAGTTTTATAAAAATGTCTCAAGTCATTAATTATTATATCTTCAATCTAATATAAGAGTAATCTTAGTTAGAGGCGATTTGATTCAGTGACTAAAACAACCCTTTATTAAATTGGTTCTTGGTGATTTAAGTCATTATTCAATTTTGTTTTTGATAGGTCAAGGCCAAATAGTTGTTTTTCTATGTTAATCTTAGCAAAATATAAGTTGAAATAATTAAGTGATGCTCATAAGTGTGCGGCACTCAGCAGATGTTAGCAATATCTATTGTTATAGCTATACATAGAAACCAACTGCCAAAGTTTACTCTTAAATGAGACAAATTGTAAATATGGATCAAAATTGATTCTGAAACTCAAGTGTTAACAAAAAAAAAGGGACAAACTACAATATCTTTAAGAGCAATATAACAAATAAATTTACAGTTATTTTACTCAACTATTATTATTAATGACATGTATCAGTTTAAGTAAACATTATTTTCAATAAATATTAATATTAAGCATGGTTTTTGAAAAATAAATAGAACAAAGCTTTTTATTGAAAATTAAATAAAATTTTAACTATAAGAAATTATTAAAAACGGAAAGAAAGAACTACTAATCATTCATATTTTTTAAAAACTGCAAAAAATACATTATAACTAACCAATACATCCTCATCATCTCTAAGCTCAATTACCAAAGAATTATCCTCAAAATGTTGCTCCGAATTATCTTCAAAATGTTGATCCGGATTTTGCTCAGCATTTTTCTCTTCTTCATACTTTTTGAGTATCGTATCTAGTTTATAACTCTTACGATAATGAGTATAAAATGACTTCAAATGATTATGAGTTTTTGTTCCCATTGCTTCAGCAATAGCTTTAAAATCTTTTCCATACCTGCGCATTCCTAAAAAAAGATTTCACCAAATTAATATAATTATTAAAATTACTATTCATATAATAATCTTAAATTTAATTCGGTCATTTCATAACATATTTAAATCTTTTAAAAAGTAGTTTTTTTTAGAACTAATATTTTATCTTATTATTGTTAACTATATTATATTTTATTAAGATATAAAAAAAAAATTATTCAAATATTTCATTAATTAAAATGCAGTATGTAGTACGTGAAATGTCAAGGTAAGATTTCCTAGCAACAATCAGACAGTTACAGCAGCAATGCTGGTAATTGTAAAGAAAATATATTATTAATGCAACATTTGTTGGCTGTTATATAGATGCATTACCAAAAATAAACAGTATTGAAATAAAGAAAATCTATTCAACAATTAAGTCAATATTTTATTTAAAATTTGAGACTCAAGCATAAATATTAATAAGTATGGGTTTGATTTTATATTCATTTATGATAAATAATGAATTATTATTAGTAAAAATATACTCCAAAAATTGATTACCATTCAATAATCAGACAGAACAATGTTCTTTTAATAAAATAAACAATTATCTTAAATTAAACAAAAAATCACTGATATACAGCAAAATAATTGAGGCAAAACTGAACACTTTAAGAATAAGTATACAAGACATCAACAACATTTAATTTGATCTATTTTTACAGAAATGATGTAGTATACAAATAAATATTAACCTTTAAAATATTTCAAACATACAGATATATATCTTAATCATTAAATTTTAAAATATTAATGGAAAAACTCAAAATTCCAATATAGTAAGACCAAGAAGTAAAATTGTATTTATTACTTCCATATATTATATAATTTGAAACAAATTTTTAACTACTGCAAGTATACATATTTATTTTATAACTTAAGTAATTTTATTAGAAGAACTATAAGTCCAAATCAAATTAATTCAACTTTTCTAAAAAGTAAAAACATTAAGTCTAGGTATCAACTGTTGAGTACAATATTTGTTGTTAAAAATAAATAAATAAGCATTTTTATACTGATTTTAGTGTATAAATGCATGTACATTTTGTATTTTTTTATTTCTTTATATTGGCAGTAGATAACATACAAGAATCATTTATTAAATAATTATAACTAGTGAGCATGATTCAATGAATAACAAAGATTAGTATTTACTTGCATTAATTGTTATAACAAGTTATAGCCCATAGAATTTAAACAAAATGACAAAATCATAGAACTCTAATACACGACTAATAAGATGGAATTAAACAAGCAGAAAATTTTTTAGCCGCCACAATTAAAAAGCGATTGGAATTTGGTAAAATTAACTTGATAACATTAAAGTAGATTATGTGGATAAAAGTACATGTTCTGTAAACCTAACTTTAACATTTATGATCACAATAATATTTTAGTATTAATGTGTGTTATTAACAAAAATAAAGATTGTGTATAGTAAAAGTTTATTAAGTTTACCTTCAATAGCAAGCATAACTTCATCATTTGTCCAACGATTTTGTACACTATTTGTTTCAGGTTCACTATTTCGATATTCATCAACATCTAATTTAAGTTTCTTATGCACATGTCCAATATCTTGTTTGTTAGACTGTATCTAAATTATTACAAGTCACAATTCGAAAATTTTTTTATAAAAATTGAGTAATGAACACACACATACTTTGCATTTTAATGATACAACTTCATCTTCCATTGCTGTTAGAATAGTATCCCCTTGTCCATTGGATCCAGATGCAATAGATTGAAGATCATCATGATTGACATACATGCCTCGTGGTGGTAAACGTTTATTACGAGCAACATTCAAATGGCGATTATTTGGACGTGGTGGACCTAGTGTTGGTCTAATACCACCATTAGTCCTACTGAATATTTAAAACAAATTTTAATATTAACTCTTAACATATGTGTTCATGTATAATTTCATACTTAAAATGTGATTGGCATGTACCACACATTAATCCTTTTATGGTAGTATAAATCATAGTAACCTCAACTCCACAAACTGTACACTCCTGTTTTGAACTTCCTTCCCCAAGGTCTTTCTAAAATAAAGAAAATTACTTATAAGACAATAATATATATATATATTTAATAACAATTAATAATTAATGAAGAGACTAGTGACATTTACTTTCAGACATCATATAAAAATATATGTTATTGTGGAACCCAGACAAAAATGTCGCAAAACCAATATATCATAAAGAAATAATACAGCCATAAATTAATATTACGTCTGTACAAGTTAAAATAGGTACAAGTATAGTAGGAAATCCAAATACACCAATTACAAAGAAAAAGATAGTTAGTTGGGTTGAACGAGTAAAGAAAGTAGTAGCAGATTGTAATCGAGAGTTTGAAGTTTATCTTCAAGGTATTTCATTTAATATATACTTCCATTAATTAATAAACATACATTATTATTTATTTTTTCAATTTTTTTTTTCAATATTTATACCAATTTTATTAAATTATACATACTTTTATCATTTTTATCAACTCTACTATACATTTATACATTTATACATTTATAAAACAATATTATATACTTTGAATTATACAAAATTATTTATAACTATTATAAAATATCAATCAATAATCAATATTATTTATTTATAATTAAATTACTGCAATATTTCATACTGGCGATATATTGGTTTCACAATATTTCAGTTGCGATATTTTACTGGTGATATTTTGTCGATGATTCTATTTTTTTCTGTGGATATAAAATTAAAATTATAAGTAAAATCAATTATCTAATTGAAAGAGAATAATATAATATAATTTAAGATTAAACAGTGTTATTCTCTATATTTTAAGTTTTAAAAATGTAAGCATTAAAAATAATTGGATTATGACAGTAAAATTCTCTTCCAATTTGATAATATAATTAATTTTAATTAAGCTTGATTAAAACACGATAAAAAGAAAATGTATTAAAGGACTATTTATTGGAGTCTAGAATAGTTAACATTATTGTGGCATCATCTAATGATAAATTTTATACAAATGTTTTTAATATTTTATAAAACTGACACTATCAAGTTTACTATTAAAATATGTCTAATGATTGAGACCCATCCACCGTATTTTTGCTTTAAATTAAGTCAAATAAACTTACTAATTGAGTAAGCCTGTCGATGAAGTAGTAAAACCTGTTTGGATACTACAACTGTTATTCCTCAGAGTTGAAAAGAGTGTTTTCCATATACCTTATTAAGCATGCTTACTTTTAATATATTTACAGAACTATGCCACTTTAATATTATAAATTATATGAAATAAAATGATTTAAGTAATTTGTTATTTTGTACACCATACCTATAAGTAAATGTTATATTATACATATTATGAGCTGCGTGAGACAGTTTGTGATAAGAACATTCTGCAATGTTATATAAAACTATATTTTTGTACTATTTTAAATGTTTTAAATAACAATGAAGTCTAACAGATGTATACATTTTAATTTATACATAATAATTGTTTACCCTATACCAATAAAATATGTATACTGCAATGCATGACTTACTTATTTTTATTTTATGTGGTATTCAGTTCAATAGTAATATGATAGGGAATTTTTTTAATCTAGTATCTCATCCTACAAATACATGTTTACAATTGTATGGTATGGTCTTAATATATTAGAAATTATTTTTTTCTTTACCTTGTCATCAGATTCAGACTCTGGTGAACTTAGCACCACTTCTCCGCTCCCATTTTGATTCTCATTGGCACGGACATTTGCTAATTTTTTAGCTTGTCGGTCTATAACACTATTCTTCTTTCTCTTATTTTTCCATAGATAATAATATTTGACTAATGATGCTATTGGTTTATCAGGCATCTTAAAGAACAGTTAAGTAACATGTAAAAAATTTAAATGATGTATTTAAAAAAATTTAAATTACCATTTGTTTAATGCGTACAAAATTTTTTCCAATACTATTAAAAGCTGATTCAAATGTAACCTTATCATCAGTTGACCAATCATCAGGTAAAGGTGCAAAATTTGATAGATCACTAAGAGCTTTTTCCATGTCGTGGTGATGCCAGTACAGCATACCCAACGCTTGTTCACTATTGTAACCATATTTTTCTTTTGATAATAATATGTATTCATTTACTATATAAAAAAAATATAAATGTTTTCTAAAAATAATAATAAAGAAATAAATAGTTATAAGTTTATACATTTAATTTCTGAAATATTTTCGGTTGGAGACCAAACTAATAGTGCTTTTTTGTTCAGTCGTTCACGTCTATTTTTTAAAAGTAACAAAATTATTAATCAATTCTTATCGATGAGGTTCACAATAAAACATACTTGGGAGAACCAACAATTTTGGAATGACAGCCTGGTAATCACGTCCCACTCTGATTTTTTCAACTAATAAAAAATAATAAAAATAAAAACAATTTAAAATAAAATATTTACTTAAGACAACAATAAAACCAAAAAGACATGAAGCAGAATCAGACAATTTTAAGACTACTTGACCTTTTTAAAAAAAAACCTTGACAGGAAAGGAAGTGTTCATGACAATTAAACTCCTAGGCTAAGATGTATGTTTATTATAGTTTGGGTATTAACTAACTGAATGTGTGGAGTATTTTATGAAATCAATACTTGCATTTGAGTTTTACTGATTGTTAAAAATCAAAAAAAATAATCAAACTTGTTTAAATTTTAAAAACGCGTTTCAACAATTCATTCAAAATTATATATATGACTATTTAAATATATTAACGTTTTTAGACATCTGTCACACAATGCTTACCGTTTTCTTGTATAAGTTCATCGATTTCCGACTCTTCAGCATTTGCAGACGGTGCTGGTCGTTTGCCGTTTTTCAAATCTTCCGAATTATCGTTAGCCATACTTCCTTTGAAAAATACTAACGCATACTACGATGAGTGGGTGCAAAATTAGCTATTCTTCGAGCTGTAAACAAATAAAACATGAGCGAAACTGGACGTAACGGATAATTACGAGCAGCTAATGTAGATGTTAAATTATTGGGAAATTGAATATTAAGTAAAAATATAGAATTTTAATAGTGAACAAACACATCGTCGTATTATAAAATATGGGATTTAGAAAATTACACGTTTTTCTCCTCCATGGACGGTATTTGAATTATAGTCTCTTTCTATTTTATTTTTCTACGTATATTGTCCACCTCAACACTATATATATTTAAACTCACTTGCACGTTATTATTACCCGTCGGATCGTGATTGTTTTACGAATCCTAAACTTTGTAATTAGATTTATCGTTGTCGTTGTCGTCTTCTGGAACCAAGATCAAAAAAAAAAAAAATTAGTCGTTTAAAAAATACTCAATTACCTGTGAAATATTCAAAAGAAAAGAAAAACTTGGAATAAAAACTATCGTCCGTTTCCCATAATAATTAATAAGCATTATCTATTACCTGCTATGACGCCGAACCTTAGACAAAATAATAATAAGACGAGGAACGGAACATTTCAGCTCAAGTGCGGCGGCAACATACCTATCATACGGTAATGCGTCGTTTACCATAACGGCCGCACTGTTGCGATAAAAACATGGCGTCTCTCTTGGAGGGTTATTAAACCTTGGTGGTTTTGAATAATATAAGTATATAACATTACTATTATAGTCATTGAACACATTTGTATATGAGTATATAACACATAGCCTCCGCCGCCCACCGCTACCACCGTCTATCAGCCATTAGGCTCATAGCGCTCATGTTTTGTCGTTTATAAATTATAATCTTAGTAGTTAGTAATCTTTACAACGACCTACGAAAATGTTTTTATGTAATGTAAATTAAATGTATACTTAGATCTATACGAATGTACGTACGATTATGAATCGATTTCGTATCATTTAACCGTCGTGCACTCGTGCGAGACTGATGTCAACAAAAAACCGTTTAGATACCTAATTATATGATGATTTTAAATAATATTTGATATACAGTGACGACGATATCGCAAATCAATTCCCATAATGTTTAAATATTATCAAACTGTCGTGCACATAGTGGTTTTTATCATTGACGTCCGATGCATAGTATAATATTATGTTATGAAAATATTAAATTTTCACGTTTTAATCCATATGAAAAAAAAAAAATTGGTTACAATTGCGGTTTTATCACTTCAGTTATTTTTATTTTTTTTACGTAACGATTTCCAGACACGACGTACTCGTTCGGAATCCAGACCGTTTTACAATCGACAACGGTGTTGACGGTCGGGCTCTCACGCATTCCGCCTAACGACTTTTCAAACCAATGTCGTTTACACCTATATCAATGATATTATTTTATTTTATGAGACTCTAACTCTAACAAAATTAGTTGTATAATCATAACGAGACTAATAAAAATAATATAGTACATGAGAGTAGGTATCTTTATGATACCCATTTTACACTTAACTGTTAAACACTTACAACAAATTAAAAAAAAAAAAAAACACAAAAATAAATGTCCCAAATAATAGTTTAATAAATATTTATTTAATTTAACATAACATAATAATTTAGATTATAATAAATAGAACAATTAATATTAAAATTTTGACACAAGAGAATTTTGCTTATCGTCTAATTTTTTTTTTGCTACTATTATTCGTTTTTATTAAATTTACTGTGGCTGTTTTGTTATTATTTATTACAATGATTCAATGAAGGCCCAATTACTTGGTATGTTTCTTTTGAACTATTGTCGCTATAAATAGTATAAATTCTTTGCAAAGCGATGAATGAATCGACTTTATAGTGTGTTATGACGGGTGATTGTAAACTCCCGATGGTACACTCTCCCGGATCTACTCCAGTACTATCTGACGGAAACGTGTAAACTCTCCCCCCGGATTTATTCCTGTACTACCTAACGGAAACATGTAAACTCTTCCGGGTCTAGTAAAAATCATAAAATAAATTTGATATACATTTAAGTCGCGTTTAAAAATAGTCAATCATATATAATAATAATATTAACAATATAAATTAATGTCTTTAGCTGCTATAAATATGATATTATAATCAAAATACAATAAAAAATAAAATTTCAAAAAATCCAATATACATTTAAGTTTCTTTTAAAAATATTCAATAATAATATAAGTTACAAATACAAAATATACGTAAAAATGTTAAAATCATTGTTTTTGATAATAAGAACATACAGATTTTAAAAAAGTTAGGGAATCTATTTTTTTTCTTTATAAAGTTTACCCGGGAGAGTTTACACATTTACTTCAGGTAAACATAATATTAACTCGGGAAAGTTTACTATTTTTAAAAATCGGGAGAGTTTACCACCGCCCGTCATGACGTCATGTATATATTTTTTTTGAGTGTATCCACGAATGGTGATGGTCAAAATTAAAAATTCTCAATATATTAAAAAATTATTAGGATATACAAAAAAGAAAAATTGAAATTTTTATATAAAAAATAATAAATAACCACAAAGATAGTAGTTACTTGAAATAGTTAAGAAATGTTCACCAAATGTTAATATTGGCATTTTTTGTACATGATAAAGTATTCAAAATATTTTGAATTTATTTGAGCTATACACTATTAAAACTGTAAAGATATTTGAAATTTTCTAGTTTTTTTCCTATAAACGTCAAAAAAAAGTTTGCTTGGAAAAACTTTTCAAAGTTTTAAAATTTAACGAAAGGTTCCTCAGAATGTATTTCTTATCAATTTATATAAATATGAGATATGAAAATTAAATATATCATTTCTTATGAGTTTTTTACCTGTAACAAAAAATAAAATTAGCGAAAAAATACATTCATGTTTATGAACATTTGAAGTTCGAATTTTTTGACATCTAGATACACAAAAATGACTTGCTCTTAGACTCTGATTGGAGCATTGAATATTTGAATGTATATTGAATTTACAGTGATATGTTATTTTCTCTCATAAGCAAAATATTTTAGTGGAGTAAAACTTAAAAGGTTAAAATTAAGGTAAAATTTAAATTTGAGAACGATATCTTGTAATAATTTAGATAATCTAGTTGTTAGTACTTAAAGTATCAATAATAAAAATTCCTAGTAGGTACCTACTCTATCAGACACCTATTAAAGACGGGGACATTTTCATTACTTTTCAATTAAAAAAAAAATCTAAATAATGGACACCTATTTGCTATTTATGCTCCTATGTTACTTTGGACGAAATCTTTTCCACTCATGACGACGATCTAATGACGACAACGACGCTGTTGATCCCGATAAGCTTGGTGAAACTAATAGGGAGGAATGAGCATGAGGAAGATGAAATTTCAAAATTTCACATTGCGTGTTTATAGGATGCATTGGCAGCTATAAAGAACGTAGGTCGTTTCATATTGTCAATAAAGGTAGAAAGCAATATTTTTTGTTCTATATATTTTAACTTTGAAAAATGAATTCGCTAACGAAATTTTAAGAGACGACATAAAATTATAAACAAACCAAGCTAACCGTTTATTTTTCATTAAATTGAATTTTTTTAAATGTGTACGAAATACTTATGCCTTTTTTATACATTTTTATAAATATATACATTTTTTATTATGTATTATTAAAAAATTAAAATATATTAACACTATACAACTAAATTTATAGTTTAACATAGTACATATTTTTTCCTTTAAAACATTTTACCTTTTATGAATTTCAAAAATTCACCACTTTAGAATAACAAAAAAAAATTTCAGTGACCAAATATTGGCTATTCAGAGGTTTAACTGTGTATATATAGTTTTCTATATCGGAAGGGGGTCAGAATATTATGAAAAATCGTCATGTCACCAGAACTCGACTGAAGGGATACTCAAAGAATGAGAAGAGCTCTTCTACTATTTTATTTTTTTATTTGCATACCTCAACTATTATTTATAATGAAATGGTAGGAATGGTGTAATCTATTGCCTACATTAATTTTTCATCTAATATGGATTTAAATTGTTGTCAATGATACTTTTTTCAAAGAAATTTCAATTGTCTTATAAACATATTGTATTAAGTGACAATTAATTGTAACTATTAGGTAAAAATAAATTTATGAATTTATTTACATTAATTAGATAAGTATGTATGTATATAAATTAGAAATGTAGTATTTAACAAAAATCTACTGATGCTAGGTGATATGGGAGAGGGGCTTTGTTAAATTATTTTGCGTTCAGAACATCAAGATTTTGCAGTTTTCAAATCGTTGGATTAAGCTCCTTTACTTAATTTTTCCGAATTTTAACACTGCATATAATTATCGATTGTCTTTTGTGCTTGTGTACCTATAATCACTATTTTCAATTTTGTCATAGATTACCTGCAAATAGTACCTATTGATTATTCACTGTAGTCTATTACAGACTACAGTAGGTAAAATAATAAAATATAGGTACCTAATATTGTATTACCATTTGTTGTTTACAAAAACAGTTAAATTTATTATGAAAACTGAAATGTGTGCATTCATACCAATAAATTTATTTTCAAATGTATTAATTACATACCTACTTTAATATATTAATTTAAAATGTTTTTAATTAATGTTAAAATTTGTTTTATAAACTTACATATCTACTGTTGTAACTATTTTCTAACAAGTAAAAAGCATTACAACTTTTTATATATGTATATTGTATATATATATAATGTTGGGCCTATATATATTTTTTTAAATACAATTTATACTTGACTTGTTAGAGGTATAATTAAAATAATTAAATGGGATATTTTCTTGTATACCTAGTATTACCTTTACATAAGCATATTTAATAACCATTATAGTAGGTACCTACATGAAAATTCCTTCTTCGATTATCATTTATCGTGTAGGTACCTATATCATATTACAGATTTGAAATTAAAATAAACATTTCATAGATGTCTTATAATATTATGACATTAAATGACTTACACTAGTGATGAATATTAAATATTTACTATTCGCTCGTATTATTTAAACATACGACTTATATATCCATAAATCCATTTCTATTGTTATATGCTAATGTAAACTGAAAAAGTACAATGGTCAATATTTAGTGATTTATAAGACGTAGATAATATAGTCTATAAGCATTGGTTAAACATAAATGGTAGTTTATTTATAACGAAACAAATACTATAACGAGATAACATTTATATATGGTTTGTGAAAATATTTGAATTAGTTTCATAAATATTAAGATAAATGTGATTGAAATTTTAAAAGTACTGGTGTTTTATTTCACTGTCTCACTGACCAAAATCGTGGAAAATAAAACTATTTAATAAATCGAATCTTGACACAAAATATAACTATTTGTTTGCAAAACTGTAAACTACAATAATATTAGGTATTTAATAGCACACTACAAGAA